GTGGGAGGAAGGAGAGGGGAAGCATCACGCCGAGGTCCAGACCAGACCAGGGGTGCAACGGGGAGGCAGAGAGGGAGAGGCCGGAGCCGCCTCCGACGCTGAATGCCCACCCGGACCCTCCCCTACTGAGTCAGGTTGGTGCGGCCGGAGTACGCACCTTTGGGGGGGTGGGGGTGGGGGGGGGGGGGGGGTACTGTCACGCCCTGATCTAGAGAACTCTTGTTGGTTGGGTCAGGGTGTGAGTTACAGATTGAGATCTATGTGATATGTTGGAGATCTAGTATGTGTATGTCTAGGTTTGGCCGGGTGTGATTCCCAATCAGAGGCAGCTGTTGCTCGTTGTCTCTGATTGGGGATCATACTTAGGTAGCCTGGTTGCCTACCTTAGTTGTGGGATCTTGTTTGTGTTCCTGTTAGGCTTGTTGTGTGTATAGGCCATAGGACTTCACGTTTTTGTTGTTTTGTTATTTTGTCAAGTGTTTATTCGTCTTAATAAACATGTACGCATACCACGCTGCACCTTGGTCTGACCCGTCTCTCAACGAACGTGACACTCGCTATTGTTATTTTACTATTGTTATTTTACTGCTGCTCTTTAATTAATATTATTATTATTGTTAATTTTTTTAGGGTATTCTTTCTTAAAACTGCATTTTTGGTTAAGGGCTTGTAAGTAAGGTATTCGGCGCATATGGCAAATAAAATGTGATTTGATTTGTGGGGAGACACCACACCTTGATTGTATAAAAAAAGTGTACAGACTCTGTTGTATCACATAAATAATCATTGTGTCAAATGTGTTGTACAGCAGTTGTACAACTTGAGTGGGAACAGGGTGTGAGAGAGAGACAGTCCTACTGGGTCACAAGTGAGGACCAAGAATTGGTCACATCTTTTTACAATCCTGTGTCCTCATTTACTGTATATGCAGAATTGCAGGTATTAGAATACATAGATTGTATGTGTATATACTGTATTTTAACATACAAACAGGTAATACCTTGCTTCATGATATTCAACTAGTACATATTGTAAAAATCTTTACATCCATATCAGTAAAATCAATACTTTAATAGTGGGAAGCCCATGCCTTATAAACATATATTTAGCTATTTACAGCACAGTATCTTCATCTCATGTCAAGGATATTGGAAACAGACTTCAGTAGCAACATTGGTTTTGTTAATACCTCAATATTCTCTTGAGGTTTTAGAATTTTGTAACATTTGTAACATCATCAAATCCATCCAATTCAGAGTTTGACCTATAAATGAAAGCAATTAATAAGCAATACTGTATCATATATAGAACTAAAGGAGTAAGATTCCTTAAGAGATGTATATCTTTTTAAATGAACATAATTTGAAGCTGTAAACATGCTTGTATACTAGCAGAGTGGCTGGTGTTTCTATCAACAATGTAAATGTGTAACTTAAATGATTGTGATACAATTAAAGACATTGTAAAAGTAAAAGAAAAAAGCAATATCCCAAATTATGATTTTGAGATTTTGTTGATACAGAAATTATGTATTCCAAGATGTATTGGAAGAAATACAACAGTCTATAGAAGTACATAGATTACAAATACCTGAGACCCCCACATGATAATAATTTCAACATCAGTGCGTATCTGTGCACATTACTAACCCGTTTTAATATAGTGCCAGAATATACACCATTCATATTATGTATACAGAAGTACCCAGCAACCCTCACTTTTACCAGTATTGTTAGTTAGCACTTGTTATTTAAGAATAATAAAAAACTGCATTTTTACACAACTATTCAAATTTGACATTTACCAAGAAAAATTGAAATCCAGTGCAATTTTTAGTACATATAAAATTCATCACAACCGAGAGCGTCACTAATTCCACTTCAAGTATGCTCTTCATCTAGGAGTGTGGAGTCTGTCAATAAGATCATTTCTTCTTTGTGTTCATATAGGCTCATATAAATGCATTTATAGGTTGCAGCCTCCAGATATATTTACACACGATGCTTCAACATTATATTTATCACTCTTTAACAAGGTTGTACAGTACTTATAGAGGTAAGACGGCTCATACAGCAGAGAGACTGTAGCTCCATCAACAACCCACTGGGCGCACACTGGTTGAATCAACATTGTTTCCACGTCATTTCAATGAACCAACGTGGAATAGACATTGAATTGACGCCTGTGCCCAGTGGGAAAGCACTTTATGAGCTAAGGCCTTTACATACACACATACAGATGAAATGTAGGATCTTAATTTGAGCCAGTTTGCTACAGCAGGATAATAATCCTGCAGCAGCAGGAAATGTTAATTATTATGTGGATTATAATGAATGGACATGTTTGTAGGGGTTGACACATTTTCCGTAAGGGAAAAACAAGTCTGAAATTTCTAAGTGGAAATTACAAACTTCAGAAGCCTTTTTAAACCTCAAATACACTACAAGTTTGAAATTTCCTACATTGCAGGAAAGTTCTCCTGCAACAGGGTGAGGTGAACAAATTAAGATCCTACATCTGTAGTAAAAAAAACTGAAAAATAAATGTAAATATACAATATCAATCTCACTTTCACAGACAATAATCGTTTTTTTTTCTTCCCGGTCCGGTAGTCTGACTTTTTGTTATGTCGAACATTTTTCAGAAGTCTAATCTTGGTGCTCACATGGTCTCCCTCAATTGATGTACGCACGAGACAAATCAGAATATAGTAAGATTATCTACAATGACAAGTAAAACATATAACGGCTCTGCAGCAATTATTTCATAACAGATAGTAAAGCAATAGTGTGCACTTTCCTACAGGTGGGCTGACATATGTTTTTCAAATATTCTAAAACTATTTGTTAGCATCCATGCTTGCTTCATAAAGAATAGTAATGATTCTGGATTTGCTTAGAAAAACAATAGGCGGACATACAGTAGATTGAAGACAGTTATAACATAGAATAGGCCTATACCGGTGCATTAGAACATCTATAGAAAGATTAATTATCAAAGATAAAGGTGTGAGTAAATACAAAAATAGGGGCTTTCATTTAAAAAGAATAATGCATTGAGGGAATGCAGAATGCATGTAATAGCTACTACAATAGTTAAAAGATGTAAACAGATACCATTGCCAATACTTTACAGTAACAATAAGCTGTTGCAATAAAAGTACAGTATGTCTTTAGAAATATTAACAGAAATAAGCTGGCACTTTGATTAGGAAGGTTACATACCACATAACATACAGGAAGGAGTGAATAAGTTTGAACTGAACAGTGAACTGAGCCTGGCCATATGCACATAGGGCCATTCCTATGGCCAAAGACCATCAGGACAAAAGACAGTGGCAATTCAAAATATGGTACATGCTGCATAATAAACAGATCAACAGCGACATTACATACTTTGCCAGCAAAATATTTGTTATCTAAAGAGCAGCATGTACATTGTCTTACGCATTTGTCCAAGTACACCTAGATGATCATATTTGATTCTAAAAAGGCTTTTAGTAAACCCTAAACCACACTGCTATCTATCTACTTAACAGTACCAGTGCATCAGCTTAATTGTACTGGGCTCAATCCCTTCCACATCACATTCACATCCAATGTACAGCAGGGTTGGTATCAACTCCATTCAAATAAACTGCTAATCCAAATTCCAATTTTCCTCATAGCTTTTTTTTTAATTGACTGAATTGAAATGGCTTTGTTTCCAACCCAGGAGTACAGTAGAGCTCATGCACTGACATGGCGCTTGCAGAAAGCAGCCTGTTTCCTATAAGACACATGAGTGGGGCAAAGGCAAGCTGCGAGCTGGAGATTTGAAGTTACTATTGAACCATCAAAACAGGGATTGGCTCATCCCTTCCCGTCTTCCCCATCCCTCAAGGCATCAGGCTGCTAGTGAAAGAACAGGTTTAGGGAGGAGGTGGGTTGCAGTGCAGTGTTTTTCCTTTCCTTTCCTCTGTGAAGTGCTGTGAAACTGAGAAGGTTACAGGAACTGTTCCACAGAAAGCAGATATTTAGCTAGGGTATTGAACGAAACAATAAAAAAATCTGTAGACAATGTTTGAAAAGGTAAATCATGAATACCTTTCTCTCTCTCTCTCTCTCTCTCTCTCTCTCTCTCTCTCTCTCTCTCTCTCTCTCTCTCTCTCTCTCTCTCTCTCTCTCTCTCTCTCTCTCGCTCTCGCCTCTCTCTCTCTCGCCCTCTCTCTCTCTCTCTCTCTCTCTCTCTCTCTCTCTCGCTCTCTCTCTCGCTCTGTCTCTCTCTGTCTCTTTCTCCCTCTCCCTCACTTTCTTGCACATTTCAATTTTTTTGACTCTCTCTCCTTGTCTTTATTTGTCTTTCTCCCTTTCTTTCTTTCTTTCTCGCTCTCTCCTTCTCTCTCACTTCTTCCTTTCCCTCTGCAGAAAATGTAATTATTTAATGTGACTAGTGTGACAACACACCTGTACAGTTAGCCGTTAGAAAGACAGAGAACATGTACAGTATCTTGCAAGAAATCATGTAAGAAATAATATTATATTCTAAAGTATGGTTCAGTTGGTGGGGTCAGGGAAAGCCCCCTTGATAAGTTGAGACCTTACATGGCAGTCTGTGTGACAACAAACAAGTCCAACAGTACATTATTCAGCAAGAAAGGAACAGTGAAAATACTTATAAAACTATAATATAACTACTCACAGTATTAGCTGCTCTGTGACAATCTGAGACACACCATGACAAAACTGTCTAGGTGTACTACTTCTTTGTGATTTTTTTCACTTAAAGAAAATCCCTCACATGAGATATATATCTCAACCTCAAATTTTTTAAAACACCTTGAAAAATAAAAATGTGTATTTGGCCCAGACCTTCATATATTAGTTTGGAATGATATATAGCTAGTATCATTATGCTGCAGCAAATGTTGGTTACATTTCTCTCTCCTGGTTGGTTGCATTGACCACACACAGTTATCTCAACATCACTGTGCTGAGGTGGCTCCTGTCCTGTCCAGCCCTCTAGTTGAAGGTGTGTTCCCCACGGATGATGTGAGATGAGAACTCATAGCGGTCCTTACTGCGGTGGCCACAGATGTTGCACTCCAGCGGGTCCCTGTAACCATGACAACCCATGTGGATGGTGTACATGACATGGTCCAGGAAGAGAACGCGGCAGTGTTCACACTGGAATACCCTCATCTCCCGCCCCTCTCGCCCAAACACACGCACCCCTTCCCGACTCATAGGCCTCTCTGCCGCCCCTCCCTGGGCCATCTCAGCCACGCCTCGCCCCTCCTCTCTGCCGCCGTATGCTGGGCTGGATCTGGGACGGTGGTGGGGGTTGTTCCAGTGGTAACCCAGCCTATCCTGTGGGCTGCTCCGGGCGGAGTCAGCCGAGTCTAGCCCACTGTTGCTAGGAGACTCTTTTTCCTCTCTGGTACCCTGGGGGTGGTGCTGCTTGGGTCTGGTAAGGGCGATCGGCCCGTTGGAGGAGGGATGGAAGTCAGGGGGAGGAGGGGGCAGAGGTGAAGGATGAGGTGGGGCGTTGCGGCTACCCGGTCGGTCCATACGCAGCTCTGGCCCAAGAGGGTAGACGTGGTGGAAGAGGGGGTTGACCATGGGTACCACCTCAGCCATAGAAAGGGACGGCTGTGGACGGTGGGGACCATGGGGGTGGGGGTGGTGGACCAGGGGCCTCGGGGAGTCAGAGCCCAGGTAAGAGATGGCGTTGTTGATAGCCTGGTCCATCATGTGAGCCTGCATCAGCTCTGCCTCTTTCTCATACTTCAGACCCATCTCATAGCTCAGCTCCGGGTAACTGTAGCGCATCATCTTCTCACCTGCAGAGCACAGCTTGCATATTACCACAATGAAACTCACATATGCATAAGCTCACCGTAGGAGAAATTGTCCAGTCGAATGACATCACTGGATAGTACAGAATACATACAACTGTAACTCTATAGCATATGAAAGAGTGCCTTAATTTTGTGTGCGTCTAACCTTTCCATTTTTAATAAGCTAAGCATTACCAAAGTACACTTCCTTTTCTCTTGCTTTCATCTTATTGTATTTTCTCTTGTGTTGTTTAATAGTGGAAAGCCCCATCCATCTGAATGCACTGTTTAACCCCTCCAAAACAGGGATGCGGTGAGCTGTTTTGCTCTTCTCTCGATAAGAGCTATTGCAGAGATACAGGTGTAACAAACCACAGAGTGAAAAACATGTCCTCGTCTCTCTCATCCGCTCTCTGTGTCTCACTCTATCTCTTCTTCTCTATCTAATAGTGCAGTAAATAATAAAAACAAAATAATTGTCTTCAGCACTAAAATGCAAAAATTGGCGGTTATATGCCAACAAAATGTTTACAACACTGTAACAATTGTTTCGTAATACAAAACAAATGTATTTATTAATGTATTTCAATAATTATCAAAAATGTTAAAATTAAAAATGAAAAAGATTGAGAAATATTCAGAGTGGAACAACTGGATCTGAAATTTGAAATTGTACATTAATCCAACAAAAGTGTGCAGTATGTGAATAGTGTCTTAATTTCTACCGTTTAGTCAAGGTCATCTGTTAGTTGCTGAACAACAGTATCATGGTTTCAATGTACCTCTGCCCAGGCACGCAATTCAATTCATTTTTTGCATGCATACACTCATTTTGTTGCAGTTCTGTTAAACTGAACATAACAAATAAACAGTCGAAACTGTAGACTGAATTTAATCCAACAGAACAGGTCAAATTCAATCCCAAAATGGGATTAACTAAATACCCTACTGATACCCTTAATACCATAATTATGAAAATTACATAATTATTATTCTAAAGAAAAATTACAAAATATACAATAATTATCTAACCTACTATTAATAATTGTGAGTTAGGGGTCCTTACGGTGAACACATTATGGTGCCCCCAGACAGGAAGTGATGCAATGATGCTTACCCACAAACTTCTGTGGAGTGGTGCTCTTCCTCTTCCCTACGTTACTCTGCAGTTTCTCAATGACAGGTGGCCGGTTTAATGTTGCCATGGCAGCGGCCTCTACCAGGGGCCTCTGCTCTTTAGGGACCTCACCTGGGGGTCAGGAGTCAGAGCATGAGAGTGTGTGAGTGTGTGTGAGGTCTGCGCCAAGGCTTGTAGGTAGTAGGTGGCTGGTGTGTAAAAGTAACATAAGTAGAGTTCACAGGGTACTCACACAAACCATAAAAAGGAAGGAGGAAGAGAAGCTAAAATTATCTTTAATTTAACTCCATACCTAAATTATAAATGATAAATGATAAAAGGTTCAAGTGCAAGGTGTAAAAAAGGTGCCAAAGAAAAAGCAAATGTTTCTGAGTCCATGCCATCAACAGAGATACCATATAGCAGGTCTCTGTACCAGAGCAGGACATTCACACTCACCTGGATAAGGCCCAGTGTTGGAGGTGGGATCCATGCCAGCACTCTGAAGGTAGTTATGGCAGCGCTCTTTATGCTCCTCCAATGACGTCCTCTGTTTGTAGCTCCGCCCACAGTAGTCACACTTGTGTGGTTTACCCACTAAATTAGAGAAATGACATCAAAGGAAAAAACTATTAATTTCATTCATTCATCAACTCACATAAACAGACAGGTAACGTAATTCTATTTGAACTCTCTAGGAGGTTTTAGTAAACACATAGAACCCGTGGAGAACACAGAAACTAGAGCAGGGCTATGAGCTCATGGAGTCATAATTGTTCCATTAGTGGGATCCCACACACCATCATTGCCAACCAGACAGAGAAGGTGTGGGCAGGCGAGATATACCAAGACACTCGAATACACACATTTGCCTTTCATACGCCCTGGAACAACTGTTAAAACCTACAACTCTTCCGGGAGCCCATCACTACTACTACGGTGCATAACTCAATTGGCCTGCTGTACACAGACACAGATACACTCTGCATCCCGTTGTAGAAGGAAAATAACTCTAACGTCAGACCTAAACAACATATCTGTTTCTCCTCAGCAGCTGGAGGTGGGGAGTGATTCATGCTTCCAGTTCCATTCAGATGGGGTCTATGCTGGTGAGACTGGCCAAAATCTCCTCTAGCTTTCCCCTAGAGAAGATCGATCCATTGATCCTTCCTTCCATCCTCCCTTCCTTCCAATCTTCCTTCATTCATTTATTAATTGTCCTTCAATCATTCACTCATGAATGAATTACTCATGAATGAATTAATACAATTGGCAACCAAAGGCTGAAACTACTGAAGAGTACTAATCAAAGTCTTCTGTAGTAGAAACAAGGCTCTGAAAGTCCTCAGAATGAGTCATAAAGGGGGAACAGTGGTCCAGACGACACCAAGCAGTGGCCCAGACACTGGCACAAAATAGGTGCCGTTCACATGAGAAAATGTACTAGCACCAGAGGTTACTAGAAACTACCTGACCTGTTACTGTGGGAATAACATGTTTCAGTCTGACAAGTACTTTGAAAGTAAGACACAGATACGCTTATGTAACATTTCACTAAGTCTATCAGAACATATTGATATTTGGACATATTGGTGAGTGGGTGAACGTCTGGTTTACATTTTTCAAGCTGATCTCAAAAACTTGATTGTGGAAAAAATCTGACTGTGTAGGTTACTTGTCTTGTGGTCTGTGAATACCAATTGGTTTAGTGTATTTGAAACTGTGGTTCATGAGTAAGCTTTATACTAGCAATGGCATCATCATGTAATTTACAGGTCATGATCATCATCATTACAGAACACTTGCCCTATTTTACTTATGAGTCTCTCCTTATGTAGCCTAATATAATGTCACTGTAATTGAAAAACACCCTGAACTGTCTGTCTGCTCCAATGATCTCAGCCACAGCACCTGCTAACTGTAGCCAGCCGGATTGGGCAGTCACACTTTCATATTGGAATAGGCAACACACAAACACACACACACACACACACACACACACACACACACACACACACACACACACACACATACACACACACACACATTTTATTATATTACTCATTAGCAAAACCTCTGGCCTTTTGCTGATTTTGGATGTATCACAAAAATCCCACTTTCAGCAGCTATTCTTGAACATGCAAATAGCCTCATCTCTCTCTGCCTTCAGACACAGTTGGCTGCATCCAGTTGGGTGATAAACAGGAACCTATCTCAGAAACGTATTGTTGTCTCATGTAATGTAAAAAAATGAGTGAGCCTATCACTCCTAATGTTGCACCTTAAACACCTTCAAGATTAACCATTTGCACACATTTGCATAGCAATTCAAATAATTATTTGATTCACATTTAACAATGTGTTTGGGGATGGGTTTAGATACAACACAGTCCATGTAGTGCCACTCTGTGTCTTGACAGTGACACGGAAAAGTATATTCTTGTCTTGCACATCGGATTGTGCAATACATGAAAGCGTTCACCTGTCGCTGTCTCTCTCTCTCTGTTTCTCTGTCTCTCTCCCCACTCAATCTATCTCTCCACACCTAACCTCCCTCTCTCGTCACTGGGGGCAGGGAGAGAGAGGGAGAGAGAGAGAGAGAGAGGAGAAAGCAGAAGAGGCCTTTATCTAGAGAACGCCATGCCAACCTACTCCCTATGCCACAGAAGAGTTCCTAACATTCCATTCAACCCTCAGGTAGTGTAGTAGGCAGGCTGAGGGGTAGAGGGGATTCATGCAGCACTACCACATACTACAGCACTGCATAGGGAACTACAGTACACCTAAATGTGCCGCCTACACTGACTTGAGGAGGGTGAAGAATTAATTTAGCCTAACAAAACAGGAAGTGAAAATGAGAAAAAGGTCAAAAGAGAAAGAAAGAGACATGGAGAGAGTGTGTGAGAAAGCATGACAGAAAAAGAGAGAGCGACACAGAGGGCTCTATTTTAACAAACTTAACGCAATGGTAAATCTGGTAGCGCTATAGGTTCGGGATTGTGTCAGAAATATTTTTTCTATTTTCACAACCAGAATTATGTGCGCAGTAGTTGGTGATGGCACGAATGGGCTGGGTTTTGATGAATAAAAACGTTGTGGGTGTGTCGAGGGTTGACACCTCACTGGCCAATTAGAACATGCTCCGTGGTTAAATATGTGGTTGCTTCAAGTTGTCTATTTACGGTCTTTCATGTATTGCATTGTAATCAACTCCAATTCGAATGTTAGTCCGTTATAGCCCAGTTCGTTAAATAGCCTGACCCATATTTGCTAAATATGTTAAACATACTAAATATGTTGAACACAGACTAGGCAACTTAGACTATGGCTGGTTTTACGCACATCCAAACTTTTCACAGGAGCTGGACAAAGATCCAAATATAAAGAGAAAGGGAGATTGTCCACTCACCGTTATAATGCTCCCAAATGAATGTTTTATAAACATCATGGAACCATCTCACAGATCATATTTGCACTTCTCCAGAAATAGCAGACGAAATAGCATTGCATTCGAGCCATGTACAGTGCCTTCAGAAAGTATTTACACCCCTTGACTTTTTCCACAATTTGTTGAGTTACAGCCTGAATTTAAAATGGATTCGATTTAGATTTTGTTTCACTGGCCTACACACAATACCCCATAATGTCAAAGTAAATACTTTGTAGAAGCACCTTTGGCAGCGATTACAGCTGTGGGTCTTTCTGGGTAAGTCTCTGAGCTTTCCATACCTGGACTGTGCAACATTTGCCCATTATTATTTTCAAAATCCTTCCAGCTCTGTCAAATTGGTCTTGCCATAGATTTTCAAGTAGATTTAAGTCAAAACTGTAACTCGGCTACTCAGGAACACTCACTGTCTTCTTGGTATTCAACTCTAGTGTAGATTTGGCATTATGTTTTAGGTTATTGTCCTGCTGAAAGGTGAATGAATCTCCTAGTGTCTGGTTGAAAGCAGACTGAACCAGGTTTTCCTCTAGGATTTTGCCTGTGCTTATCTCCATTCCGTTTCTTTTTTATCCTGAAAAACTCCCCAGTCTTTAATGATTACAAGCATACCCATAACATGATTCAGCCAACACTATGCTTGAAAATATGGAGAGTGGTACTCAGTAATGTGTTGTATTGGATATACCCCACACATAACACTTTGTATTCAGGACAAAAAGTGCATTTCTTTGCCACATTTTTTGTAGTATTACTTTTGTGCCTTGTTGCAAACAGGATGCATGTTTTGGAATATTTTTTATTCTGTACAGGCGTCCTTCTTTTCACTCTGTCAATTAGGTTAGTATTGTGGAGTAACTACACCCTTAGAAAAAAAGGTGCCATCTAGAACCTAAAAGGGTTTTTGAAGAAAACGTTTTAGTTCCAGGAAGAAACGTTTTGGTTCCAGGTATAACCGTTTTTGGTTCAATGTAGAACCCTTTACACAGAGGGTGCTACATGGAACTAAAAAGGGTTCTCCTATGGGAACAGCCGAACCCTGCCACCTCAGAACAAGCGAGCTGATATAAGACAGCTAAGTTACCAACCCTGGTGCCAGTGTTAGAAAATAGCAGAGTGCTGGCTTTTACAAGTCGAAATTGCCAAAGAGCGTGTGTAATACCAGCCGAACATAGAGCCCAGAGAGAAAGACCCACTGGTAATGGGTAGCTACAGCATTCCAACAGGACAACGACCCTAAGCCCATAGCCAAGACAATGCAGGAGTGGCTTTGGGACAAGTCTCTGAATGTCCTTGAGTGGCCCAGCCAGAGCCCGGACTTGAACCCAATCGAACATCTCTGGAGAGACCTGAAAATAGCTGTGCAGTGACGCTCCCCATCCAACCTGAGAGAGCTTGAGAGGATCTGCAGAGAAGAATTGGAGAAACTCCCCAAATACAGGTGTGCCAAGCTTGAAGCGTCATACCCAAGAAAACTCAAGGCTGTAATCGCTGCCCAAGGTGCTTCAACAAAGTACTGAGTAAAGGGTCTGAATACTTATGTAAATGTCATATTTCCGTTTTTTTTTTTCATACATTTGCAAAAATGTCTAAAACCTGTTTTCACTTTGTAATTATGGGCTATTGTGTGTAGATTGATGAGGGGAAAAAATGATGTAATCTATTTTAGAATAAGGCCGTAACGTAACAAAATGTGGAAAAAGTCAAGGGGTCTGAATACTTTCCGAATGCACTGTACATGTGAATACTTCTAAGAGGACAACACTAGAGATTAGGGTATACTGTCGTGTGTCCCAGATCTCAAAGAAGAGGCAGGGGAGAACACAGAGACAGAGGCATATGATGCAGAGATAGGAAAGTGGGTTACAGTTAGAGCAACACAGCGCAGTGTTTCTCTGGTCTACCCATACTGTATATCTACAGAGAACAGAGAGAGTTCCTTTCTGAGGAGACGTGAGCTGAGCAGGTTATAGGAACAGCATGTCCTGGGTGCCTAACCACAGCCCTCATCTGTCTGCACAAAAATCCCCAGAGAGATGCATCCATCCAACAATACGAAACCCTGTCAGGGTTAGATATTTGTGGGGACTGTTGCTAATCTGTCTCACACAAATTTAGACACAGGCCAGACCAGATCATGCTTTAAGTTACAACGAGATAGGCCTGTTCTATAGCATCAACATAGTATGGACTATTTGAGAAGTTATTGAAACCAGGATAAATACTCAGGAGTAACCACAGTAATAAAAAAGTTAAAGGAAGCATAGACCCAAGACAAAGGGAATAGGAAGACAAGGAGAAAAAATAGGAACATAGAGGAAGAAACGAAAGAAGAGAGGACGCAGAGGGGCTGACCTGAGTGTGTGCGTAGGTGGCCTGCAAGTGCGTCACGACGGCGGCAGGCATAGCTGCAGAAGGGGCATTTGAAGGGCTTCTCCCCCGTGTGCAGCTTGATGTGTCTCAACAGGTTGCCCTTCTGAGTGAACGACATGCCACACTGGTTACACTGGAATGGCCTATCACCTGAGAGGGGCACAGGAAGTGTTAAACTGGAACGGGGTACCACTCGAAGGGGCACAGGAAATGCAGGCTCTCATCTCTCCCTCCCCCTTTTACATACAGCCAGATCAGCAACACACAATACCCACCAGCTACCTACTCTTGCTACCTAGTCTTGAGTTGCCACAAGTCTCGATTTCACTCGGCTAGTGGACCGAAAATACTTGAGAAAGACGGAAATGGAGGTTCGCAGCTACTCAACAGCAATCAACACATTGCAATGGTAAAACATGGTTAGATTGGTAAAGACAAGCAACACGCCTTAGCTGAGAACGTTGTAACATCTCAAGTAATGCAGAGAATATATTTCTAGGAGGATTGTCAGTGGGTAGAAAAACACTAACGTGTGGTGTCTGATGTGTGCTGTGTACAATTGATACATTTGAACTACAACCTACAGTTGTCACTACAGAGCCATTTATTGTATATCTACAGTAATAGTGTCTGGAGTGTGGTGAGATGAGGTGTTAGATCTCCACCCTAATAGCTCTGCTCTGGGTCTCTTCTCACCACACAGTAGGTGTAGAAATACAGTGAGTTTTTATCAGGCCCCTGGTAGGGCTGTAGACCTTCTACACACACATACACAAACACCACCACCACCAACACCACTAAGTTGGTATAAGTTAATAAGGCTTAGTGTGCCTGTCAAAGTCTCTTCAGATAGTAAATGGTTAAGACTTAGACAGTCTTACAGTGTGTCTTAAAATCTTCCATTGCGTAAAAATACTGGACATCTTTAATTCCAGCTTTACCATGGAAGTATGTTTGTCTGTATCTATGCAAAAAGTTTGCCCGGTTCACCAGTAAACTATAGTAATCTCATCAACATCTTGATGATCGTCTCTTGATCTGCAGCTGAACATTTGAAAAAGTGAAATGTGATCCTAAATCTGTGAAGGCCGAGACACAATAATAGCGTCAGTTAAGGGCTAGGGAACAGGTTGTGGAGGATTCCTGGGATGTTTTCCATGGAAATGATTCCAAGGCTAAACTATTGTATTGTACAAAACAGCAAAGCTCTCCACCTCCACACCCGTAGAAACAATTTCTGACTCACACAATTTTTTCTTTTTTTTAATCATAGGATGAGAGACGTACAATTGCTTTAGTCTGTAAAATACATATCTCATAGGGAGCTACCACGTGAAGTATCATTTATCCATCATTTATTAACGTATAACTAATGGGTTTTTGCAGATTGTTAGATGTTAATGGTAAAACATTGACATTCCTTAGATACATCACAGATTATTGAGTCATTGTTGTTCAATTTAAAGTACATTAGGTTTGGGCCATAAGGGACATAAGGGGAAACCACTTTAGAGAAACATTTACCATTGGGCAGCCGAGTTCCTGGGTCACATGACCCATCTGACCCAGGGACCCCATCCTGTAGGTTGTTTGGGCTGTCAATCATGGGCTCTTCCAATCCCGATTCCTCTTCCCCGCTTTGTCCTATATCCTCTGCTGTGGTCCTCCTGTGCCCTTCATCTTCTGGCTCTTCTTCTTGTTTGATGGTGTTTTCTGGAAGAGACAGGTATGACCAATCAAATTACTGTTTTTCAGACAATACATGACAATCACATGACATGGTTTTAGTGGGTGATCCTTGTTCTTCCAGTAAGAGGTGCAGTGGCTCTAAACCTTGTAAATCTGTTTCTCTTTTAATGTATACCTCCATTGATTGGAACAAGGTAATGTTGCATGTTATTTCCCCTGGAGAAGCAAGTAATATAATGATGCTCAACATAAATTGCCAAAGTTAATGCTAAATCCTAGAGGCAGGGACTCTCCACATCTGACTAACAATGGTTAGTTATTGGTACATTCTTGGAATTGTATGCAATTATTACTGCTATCTTTTTTAAACCTGAGACTTTTGGAATTTACACAGTAAAGTAGTTATGTGGAGAAAAGTCCATGTGGGTTTCGACTTGACTGGCGCTGGGAGACTGGCTGGCTGGCTGGATGGGGGGAGACTCTGGCTGACTAAAGGCACGAACGCCTCAACTCTACTGGGTTGGCCACTAGACTCTCAGTATCCCTCATCCGACGTTATAGGGAGGCTGACACACAGACACACAAATATGGCCCAGATTCATATTCCTCCAGTCTGGCTTAAGTAACTTTTGACTCTTGAGTCACTAGGGACACACACACATAGCCACAGAATAATATTTAGAGATCGTCCTTTCCCACACAACTGTTGAAGGTGCAATATGCAGAAAATGTACCATCTAAAATATATTTTCAATAACCAAAAATATTGTATTTTCAGCTGTTTAAAGCCGAAAGTAAAAGACACAAAAACAAAACTTAAGACCGGGAAGCATAGAAACAGCACACATAAATTAGAACATATCTACCACTTCTTAGACTTATGTTCAATGAGAATGACAGATCTATAACTTACATTTCTATGTGAATTTGGTCGGGTCGCCCACAAAGTTACATATTGCAGCTTTAAGATTATGCTATGCTTAGCATATACGTAGGGACCTTACGCTTGAATGTTTGGTATTTGGTATTTTATAGGATCCCCATTAGCTGTTGCAGAAGCAGCAGCTACTGTACTTTTCCTGGGGTCCACACAAAACATAAAGCATGACAAAATACATAACACTATTAGACAAGAACAGAAACACAAATTTAAAATAAGAACAATAGAATAAAAAATTGTCCTGTACTGCGTATACATACAGCATATTCATTACAGCATATACAGTACATACAAGTTTTTAGGTCATTCAAGGTCAGAGGCATTGTGCCGTGAAAAGAAGACTTATTGCATTCCTTCACAGTAGCCTGAAGGAAAACCTGATACGGACGATAATCTTAACCATCCAGACAAGCCTGTTTGTGATTTGTGACTGAGACCATAATCATGGTGTGGGTACGGAAGGAGCCGGAGCAATAAACCCAAACCTCTCACATCCATATCATCCATCCCCTAACTGGGTCCCTTCAGGCTCCTAGGCTCCATTAAAGGGGATTTTGGCAATTAAGCCACTTACAGTTTCTACGTCCTGAGAGTCAGATGAACTCGTGAATACCATTCTTATGTTTGCATCCAGTATGAAGGAAGTTAGAGGTCGTTTTGCGAGCCAATGCTAACTAGCTTAGCGCAAAGACTGGAAGTCTTCCTTCATACTGGACCAGGCACTTGCACAGATAGAGCCGTAGGTGTGCTGGAGCACCTGCCCCCTTGCCCTCCTATGAAAAAAAGTGCCCTTTTGATTGGTGGAATATTTTCAAAAAGAATTCCATTTTATTTAATACTTTTGTCTCTTTTCTCTCTAACTTTAAATGCAATGAATTGCCCATCAAACTATATAATTTCATAAACTCATGAATCTTGAAAAAAGTCCTCTCTTCCGCCCTTCTGCCACCGTGAGCACTAGTGTGCTGCTGCACTCGTCCGGCCATACACTAGCGATGAGTTTCAAATGAATACAGCCAGTAGTAGGTTCATTTGGAGTTGCTAGCATGTGTTGTCTCAGGGTCAGGGACAGGGATGGGGGACCCTGCATTCTGACTCTTTGTCAGTAGCAGAACAAATTCAAATCAAGTAAAGACTAGTTAGCTTGTTTTGACAGCATAGCCTAGCTAACTAGCTAGCTGAGTCATCTAGCCTACATTCGGGATGATCAGCTGATATAGCTCAACCCCATAGGCGTTCTAGCAAAGCTAAGGCCTATGTTTAAATAGAGTCGATATCCACGGCCCCGCTGACATTTTATAGCACAATAGACAAATCCCCATAAAAATCTGTCTGTTTAAGATAGAGATATCTTTTTTGCATGGGCTGCGTCTCAATCCACCGCATCCGCCGATGTCAGCCATCCGCATCTGCAATGAAAGGTGTCAGAGCTACAGCGGTGTTTGTCAGACCATGAGACATCCTGAAAATCGGTCTTCTCACGAAAACGTCTGTAGATTCCGAATGGCTTACAAACTAGTATTACCCCTCTATGGAAAGATTAGACTCTCACGATGGTGTTCTACGTTTTGCTTTACGACCCCCACAAGCGTCACGGGACTCGTCTGAAGTCGGTACCGCCGATCTTCTGTCTGTAACATCCAAACAGTTTAGGCTACACATTAATATGACCCCTCTATGGAAAGGTGAGACTCTCATGAACACGTACATGTCTTTCTCTAGGACACCCACAAGCTTCCCAAGACTTGTCTGAAGGTAGCCTAGTACCAGTTAAAATGTTGGTGCCTAAAAAAAGGGTTACACATGTGTCAAATATATATACAGCACCAGTCAAAAGTTTGGACACACCTACTCATTCCAGGGTTTTTATTTATTTTTACTATTTTCTACATTGTAGAATAATAGTGAAAACATCAAAACTATGAAATAACACATATGAAATCATGTAGTAACCAAAAAAGTGTTAAACAAATAAAAATATATGTTATATTTCAGATTCTTCAAATAGCCACCCTTTCCTTGATGACAGCTTTGCACACTCTTGGCATTCTCTCAACTAGCTTCATGAGGTAGTCACCTGGAATGCATTTCAATTAACAGGTGTGCCTTCTTAAAAGTTAATTTGTGGAATTTCTTTCCTTCTTAATGCGTTTGAGCCAATCAGTTGTGTTGTGACAAGGTAGGGGGGTATACAGAAGATAGCCCTATGTGGTAAAAGACCAAGTCCATATTATGGCAAGAACAGCTCAAATAAGCAAAGAGAAATGACAGTCCATCATTACTTTAAGACATGAAGGTCAGTCAATACGGAACATTTCAAGAACTTTTAAAGTTTCCTCAAGTGTAGTCACAAAAACCATAAAGCGCCATGATGAAACTGGCTCTCATGAGGACCGTCACAGGAATGGAAGACCCAGAGTTACCTCTGCTGCAGAGGATAAGTTCATTAGATTTAGCAGCCTCAGAAATTGCAGCCCAAATAAATGCTTCACAGTTCAAGTAACAGACACATCTCAACATCAACTGTTCAGAGGAGACCGTGTGAATCAGGCCTTCATGGTCGAATTGCTGCAAAGAAATCACTACTAAAGGACACCAATAATAAGAAGAGACTTGCTTGGGCCAAGAAACACGAGCAATGGACATTAGACCGGTGGAAATTTGTGCTTTGGTCTGATGAGTCCAAATCTGCGATTTTTGGTTCCAACCATCGTGTCTTTGTGAGACGCAAAGTAGGTGAACATATGAACTCCGCATGTGTGGTTCCCACCGTGAAGCATGGAGGAGGAGGTGTGATGGTGTGGGGGTGCATTGCTGGTGACACTGTCAGTGATTTATTTAGAATTCAAGGCACACTTAACCAGCATGGCTACCACAGCATTCTGCAGCGATACGCCATCCCATCTGGTTTGCACTTAGTGGGACTATCATTTGTTTTTCAATGGGACGATGACCCAAAACACACCTCCAGGCTGTGTAAGGGCTATTTGACCAAGAAGGAGAGGGATGGAGTGCTGTTTCAGATGACCTGGCCTCCACAATCCCCTGACCTCAACCCTGACTGAGTCTGTAATACCAACATGTTTCAAGCAGACCACCATAGTCCCCGTGCCCAAGGACTCTAAGATAACCTGCCTAAATGACTACCGACCCGTATCACTGACGTCTGTAGCCATGAAGTGCTTTGAAAGGCTGGTCATGGCTCACATCAACAACATTATCCCAGAAACCATAGACCCACTCCTATTTGCATAGAGCCCCAACAGATCCACAGATGATGCAATCTCTATTGCACTCCACACTGCCCTTTCCCACCTGGACAAGAAGAACACCTACGTGAGGATGCTATTCATTGACTACAGCTCAGCATTCAACATCATAGTGCCCTCAAAGCTCATCACTAAGCTAAGGACCCTGGGACTAAACACCTCCCTCTGCAACTGGATCCTGGACATCCTGACGGACCGCCCCCAGGTGGTAAGGGTAGGTAACAACACATCCGCCATGCTGATCCTCAACACGTGGGCCCCTCAGGGGTGCGTGCTCAGTGCCCTCCTGTACTCCCTGTTCACCCATGACTGCATGGCCAGGCACGACTCCAACACCATCATTAAGTTTGCCGACGACACAACAGTGGTAGGCCTGATCACCGACAACGATGAGACAGCCTATAGGGAGGAGGTCAGAGACCTGGCCGTGTGGTGCCAGGATAACAACCTCTCCCTCAACGTGACCAAGACAAAGGAGATGATTGTGGACTACAGGAAAAAAAGAGGACTGAGCACGCCCCCATTCTTATCGACGGGGCTGTAGTGGAACAGGTTGAGAGCTTCAAGTTCCTTGGTGTCCACATCACCAACGAACTATCATGGTCCAAACACACCAAGACAGTCGTGAAGAGGGCACGACAAAGCCTATTCCCCCTCAGGAGACTGAAAAGATTTGGCATGGGTCCTCAGATCCTCAAAAAATTACACAGCTGCACCATCAAGAGCATCCTGACTGGTTGCATCACTGCCTGGTAATGGCAACTGCTTGGCCTCCGACCGCAAGGCACTACAGAGGGTAGTGCGTACGGCCCAGTACATCACTGGGGCCAAGCTTCCTGCCATCCAGGACCTCTATACCAGGCAGTGTCAGAGGAAGGCCCTCAAAATTGTCAAAGACTCCAGCCACCCTAGTCATAGACTGTTCTCTCTGCTACCGCACGGCAAGCGGTACCGGAGTTCCAAGTCTAGGTTCAAAAGACTTCAAACACAGCTTCTACCCAAAGTCATAAGACTCCTGAACAGCTAATCATGGCTACCCGGACTATTTGCACTGCCCCCCCCACCCCATCTTTTTACGCTGCTGCTACTCTGTTAATTATTTATGCATAGTCACTTTAACTCTACCCACATGTACATATTACTTCAACTACCTCAACTAGCCGGTGCCCCCGCACATTGACTCTGCACCGGTACCCCCCTGTATATATAGCCTCCCTACTGTTATTTTATTTTACTTCTGCTCTTTTTTTCTTTCGGCGCATGTTGCCAATACAATTTGATTTGATTTGATTTGAATTGAGATGGTTTGGTATGAGTTGAACTGCAGAGTGAAGAAATAGCAGCCAACAAGTGCTCAGCATATGTGGGAACTCCTTCAAAGCACTGTTGAAAGCCGTCCTCGTTAAGCTTGTTTCAGAGAATGCCAATAGCGTGTCATGTTGTCATCAAGGCAAGGGTGGCTATTTGAAGGAATCTCAATAGAAAACTATTTTTGATTTGTTTAAAACCTTTTTTGGTAATTAGGATTCCTATGTGTAATTTCATAGTGATGTCTTCACTTTTATTCTACACTGTAGAAAAGTAAAAATAAAGAACAACGTTCAAAATGATAGGTTTGGTCCAAACTTTTGACTGGTACTGTAAATAATTTTTCCTGATCTTTCCTATATCTCTCAGATACAAACTTCCTTTAGCATTTTATTTTTACTATCTGTTTTTCCAGGTATGAATCTGTTATTCAATTCATTTCTATGAGCTAATAGCAGTAAGGCCAAATTCAATATTTCATCAAATATTATTTTTATATGCAAGTGGAGCGTGGTGATTGCTAGAGTTGACTGTGTGTGCTGATTGCTTTAGGGATGACAACAACATCCACTGTGGTGATTGCTATAAGGTTGACACTAAGTCATGGTGATTGCTATAGGGTTTACACTAAGTCATGGGGATTGCTATAGGGTTGACACTAAGTCATGGTGATTGCTATAGGGTTGACACTAAGTCATGGTGATTGCTATGGGGTTGACACTATGTCACACTATCCACTCCACTGAGGTGATAGGGTTGACTACATCCATTTATCTCACAACATAGACTAAATATAATTCTGGAGTCCTGCTATTGTCAGCAATGACATGGCAATCTCTGCAACTACATGCCAGTATTTTCTTAAGATATATTTCCCCTTTTATCTCTTAGCCTTGTGTAAACTGAAAGAGATCCTCTTTTACTAACAGCATGACATTGAATTTATCCTCCAGAGCTGTATTCTGCCAACATGGAGCTAGCAGATTGAGGGGTATTGGAAGTGGGGTATTCACATGAAGAGCTCTCCACTCTCTGTCGAAGCTGGCTGAACTTGAGATGGTTGCTGGGACAACAGCATATTATAGAACCCAGATAAATAAAATATGAAGAAAGAAACTGATGGGTCAAACTACCAAGGAGGATAAACTACATTAGGTTTCCAAGCTAAGTGAAAAGTGCTATCATAAGCTAATCTGAGCAAGGATACCTGTCCCATACCTGGCTGTGTATTGAACACCTCATTGTTTACATTACTCAAGGGTCAGAGATCAAGAGGGTCAAGAAGAGCCACCCATAAGGTATTTTGCTAGTGGAACTGTAGAGGTATTTTGCTGAAGTGAATGAAAAAATACTTTAAAATGTTATACCATACTAATAGTTTGATTCTAAACATAAGTGTATAGACAAACATGTTTTTTTGTTTTGTACACACTGACACAACTGCTTAATTTCAAGAGGAATTCAGTGTCAGTCAGTGTTGTGTTACAAAAGCGGTGTCATGGTAGAGTGGTGTTAGGAAACCTCTGGGTTGGGATGACACAAGATGTATATGTGAGAGTCTCTCTCCCTCTGACAGCACACACAGATCTGGGACCAGTCTACTAATACTGGGGGATGCTGCGGGAAGTAACTTCCCTTTTCTGGTTCAGCCACCTCATGGTGACATGTCTGAAGACAATCAGAAAAATGGCACCATGTTTCAGCTCTTCCTATTTTTGTTCATTTAAGGGAAGGGAACTATGCAAGACCCTTCAGATAAGAAATGAGTTTTTGATGACCCTTTGATAAAAGAAAATAAACTGTTTCTCAAACTGATTCCTCTTGACGCGTGTGTGTGTGTGTGTGTGTGTGTGTGTGTGTGTGTGTGTGTGTGTGAATGTGTAACCACTCACCAGTGGGTGAATAAGGACCCTTGGGCTGCTGTGCGTTGGGTGTGTTTGCAGACAGATCCACCAACAATCTAGAGTTCTCTGTCTTCCTGGGAGAGCAGTCTCCATTACCTGGGAGACAGATAGACAACAAGATAGCTGGGAACATCGCACTGCACAGCATTGCAATGCACTGAACAGCATACATAGTATCAGTAAAAGGTTTGGACACACCTACTCATTCAAGGGTTTTTCTTTATTTATACTATTTTCTACATTGTAGAATAATAGTGAAGACATCAAAACTATAAAATAACATATATGGAATTATGGGTCCCCTGTAGCTCAGTTGGTAGAGCATGGCGCTTGCAATGCCAGGGTTGTGGGTTCGTATGAACTCACTAACTGTAAGTCTGTCTGGATAAGAGCGTCTGCTATATGACTAAAATGTAAATGTAATGTTGTAACCAAAAAAGTGTTAAACAAATCAAAATATATTTTATATTTGAGATTCTTCAAATAGCCACCCTTTGCCTTGATGACAGCTTTGCACACTCTTGGCATTCTCTCAACCAGCTTCACCTGGAATGCTTTTCCAACAGTCTTGAAGGACTTCCCACATATGCTGAGCACTTGTTGGCTGCTTTTCCTTCACTCTGCGGTCCGACTCATCCCAAACCATCTCAATTGGGTTGAGGTCGGGGGATTGTGGAGGCCAGGTCATCTGATGCAGCACTCCATCACTCTCCTTCTTGGTAAAATATCCCTTACACAGTCTGGAGGTGTGTTTGGTCATTGTCCTGTTGAAAAACAAATGATAAGCCCAAACCAGATGGGATGGCGTTTTTCTGCAGAATGCTGTGGTAGCCATGTTGGTTAAGTGTGCCTTATTCTAAATAAATCACTGACAGTGTCACCAGCAAAGCACCCCCACACCATAACACCTCCTCCTCCATGAATTGCGGTGGAACCACACATGCGGAGATCATCCGTTCACCTACACCACGTCTCACAAAGACACGGAGGTAGGAACCAAATAATCTCCAATTTGGACTCCAGACCAAATGACAGATTTCCACTGGTCTAATGTCCATTGTTCGTGTTTCTTGGCCCAAGCAAGTCTCTTCTTCTTATTGGTGTCCTTTAGTAGTGGTTTCTTTGCAGTAATTCGACCATGAAGGCCAAATTCACACATTCTCCTCTGAACAGTTGATGTTGAGATGTGTCTGTTACTTCAACTCTGTGAAAAATAATACTTTTTTGGGCTGCAATTTCTGAGGCTGCTAACTCTGACGGGGCTGAACTTATCCTCTGCAGCAGAGGTAACTCTGGGTCTTCCATTCCTGTGACGGTCCTCATGAGAGCCAGTTTCATCATAGCGCTTGATGGTTTTTGCGACTGCACTTGAGGAAACGTTCAAAGTTCTTGAAATGTCCGTATTGACTGCCCTTCATGTCTTAAAGTAATGATGGACTGCCGTTTTTCTTTGCTTATTTGAGCTGTTCTTGCCATAATATGGACTTGGTCTTTTACCAAATAGGGCTATCTTCTTTATACCCCCACATACTTTGTCACAACACAACTGATTGGCTCAAACGCATTAACTTTTCCACAAATTAACTTTTAAGAAGGCACACCTGTTAATTGAAATGCATTCCAGGTCACTACCTCATGAAGCTGGTTGAGAGAATGCCAAGAGTGTGCAAAGCTGTCATCAAGACAAAGGGTGGCTATTTGAAGAATCTCAAATATAAAATATATTTTGATTTGTTTAACACTTTTTGGTTACTACATGATTCCATATGTGTTATTTCATAGTTTTAATGTCGTCACTATTATTCTACAATGTACAAAATAGTAAAAATAAAGAAAAACCATTGAATGAGCAGGTGTGTCCAAACTTTTGACTGGTAGTGTACATATATACAACTCCATCTCTCCAAATGTCATCACATCCTACACAAATGCTTTGAGAGGTGTCAATTGTAGCAATCACACCTTCTAAAAAAGTGTAAAAATGCCTGATGATACCCAGAGATACTTAGCCTGGGGATAACTTAATGCTGTATTTCACACTTCTAATTCATAACAGGAAATCATTCTGAACCACTTCCAGTAGCAAAGAGATTTTCCGTGGGTGATCTTCCAACCAGACCCAGTACTTGCTTAGCTTCAGGTGCTAGCCAGTACAGTACCATTTTTCTGTCAGCCTCGTGTCCTCTCCATACAGATCAGATCAGATTGCGGCCTGTCAGCACCCTCCCTGACACACAGGCAATGCCATGGGATAGCTATAGCTGTGGGTCCTTTCCTGTCCACTCAGAAGGAGAGCTGTACAATCCCTTATCCCGTTACAGCCTGGCTCCAGCACAGCCTCTCAAACAATACAGCAGCAACACCACAGCACCCCCAATGACCCAGGTGTCAAATCCCACAGGAGCCAGACCACAGCAAAGACAACACTGTTCAAGCTATCACCTGGGAGTATTCTGTTAATATACACTACCAGTCAAAAGTTTTAGAACACCTACTCATTTAAGGGTTTTTGTTTAATTTTACTATGTTCTACATTGTAGAATAATAGTGAAGACATCACAAGTATGAAATAACACAATCATGTAGTAACCAAAAAATTGTTAAACAAATCAAAATATATTTTATATTTGAGATTCTAAAAAAGTAGCCACCCTTTGCCTTGATGACAGCTTTGCACACTCTTGGCATTCTCAACCACCTTCATGAGGTAGTTACCTGGAAAGCATTGCAATTAACAGGTGTGCCTTCTTAATAGTTAATTTGTGGAATTTATTTCCTTCTGAATGCATTGGAGCCAATCAGTTGTGTTGTGACAAGGTATGGGAGGTATACAGAAGACAGCCCTATTTGGTAAAAGACCAAGTCCATATTATGGCAAGAACAGCTCAAATGAGCAAAGAGAAATGACAGTCCATCATTACTTTAAGACATGAAGGTCAGTCAATACGGAACATTTCAAGAACTTTTAAAGTTTCTTCAAGTGCAGTCACAAAAACCATAAAGCGCTATGATGAAACTGGCTCTCATGAGGAACGCCACAAGAATGGAAGACCCAGAGTTACCTCTGCTGATTTTTGGTTCCAACCGCTGAGTCCTTGTGAGACGCGGTGTGGGTGAACGGATGATCTCCGCATGTGTGGTTCCCACCGTAAAGCATGGAGGAGGAGGTGTTATGGTGTGGGGGTGCTTTGCTGGTGACACTGTCTATGATTTATTTAGAATTCAAGGCACACTTAACCAGCATGGCTACCACAGCATTCTGCAGCGATACACCATCCCGTCTGGTTTGGGCTTAGAGGGACTATCATTTTGTTTTTCAACAGGACAATGACCCAACACACCTCCAGGCTGTGTAAGAGCTATTTTACCAAGAAGGAGAGTGATGGAGTGCTGCATCAGATGACCTGGCCACCACAATCCCCCGACCTCAACCAATTGAGATGGTTTGGGATGAGTCGGACCGCAAAGTGAAGGAAAAGGCAGCCAACAAGTGCTCAGCATATGTGGGAACTCCTTCAAGACTGTTGGAAAAGCATTCCAGGTGAAGCTGTTTGAGAGAATGCCAAGAGTGTGCAAAGCTGTCATCAAGGGTGGCTATTTGAAGAATCTTTAATATTAAAATATATTTTGATTTGTTTAACACTTTTTTGGTTACTACATGATTCCATATGTGTTATTTGATAGTTTTGACGTCTTCACTATTATTCTACAATGTAGAAAATAGTTAAAAAAATAAAGAAAAACCCTTGAATGAGTAGGTGTTGTAAAACCTTTGACCAGTAGTGTAGGTTTACAGGAAAGTACCTGAAAGTAACAGTCTAACAGTTAATCTTCGTCAAAGCTTCCCTCATGGAAGCTAAAACAAAATGCTTGTCTTTTATGTGGTAGACTAGTGTTACAATGTTAGGATTGGCTGCTGCTGAATGAGGCACACTGGGAGTTGTGGTCCATGACTATGATGACACAATCCCTGGGTCTGGTCTCCGGTTGCACGCCACGCTGGGGTTGGATGAAATCTCAGGTGACTGACGGGTAGCTATCCATTGGCAGTGGTGTCTGTTGTAGAGATAGGGGTGGCCCAGATTTGTCATGAAGGATTTTCCATTACTGTGCTAAGTGTTGACGCCTTGATGTCTGCCTAGCAGCTCTGTAGGGCCTCTCAGGTTAGGTAAAGGCTCAGTGTGTCTCAAAGGTGGTGTGTACTAATAGCACCTGAATGTTGATGTTCGTATGTTTATATGTACTTGTAATTATTACTGAAACCCTTAATGGTATTTAGCTGAAACTGGTTTAAAAGACGAACTGTGGTTGTTATTCATATATACAGTATACATGCTTGCTAACCCTAGGAAACTATTTTCCACCTTCTCCTCCCTCCTTAATCCTCCCTTTCTGCGGACGACTTTGTCATCCACTTTAAAAAGAAGGTTGATGATATCCGCTCTTCATTCACTCAGCCTATTGAGTCCACTGGTCCCACTCACACAGAGCTACCCTATGTTTTTACCTCTTTCTCCCCTCTCTCTCCAGGGGCGGCAGGTAGCTTAGTGGTTAAGAGCGTTGTGCCAGTAACCGAAAGGTTGCTGGTTCTAATCCCCAAGCCGACTAGGTGAAAAATCTGTCGATGTGCCCTAGAGCAAGGCACTTAACCCTAATTGCTCATGTAAGTCGCTCTGGATAAGAGCGTCTGCTAAATGACTAAATTGTAAATGTAAAATGAAATCCTGCGACTAGTGAGGTCTGGCCGCCCAACAACCTGCCCGCTCGACCCCATCCCCTCCTCCCTTCTCCAGAAATCTCTGTAAACCTTCTCCAATTCCTCACTTCCCTCATCAACTCATCCTTGACCACTGTCGCACCCCTCCTCAAGAAACCAACACTCGACACCTCCGACGTCAAAAACGCTCTCTCAGAACAATCTTCTTGACCCTAACTAGTCAGTCTTCAAGACAGGTCACTCAACCAAGACTGCTCTGTTCTCATCCTCCTAGATCTATCCACTGCATTCGACACTGTGAACCATCAGATCCTCCTCTCCACCCTCTCAGGGCTGGAAGTCTCAGGCTCTGCACACTCTTGGATTGCATCCAACATGGCAGTCTACTCCTACCAGGTGACGTG